ATCCCACCAGATCTGCGTTCTAGGAAATCTGGTCACATCATGTCAGTTACTGCATCTTGGATTGCTGGCCAGTTGTCCCAGGGTGGTTGCTTGAGCCTTGACCATGTCTAATCAAATTCTGTTCCCATTTTCCCACCAGACTAGGATAGGGTGTTATACTTTATACATATTAGGTTTATGGGAGTATGTTTACATACAGTAAAATTCACTTACTTTTGTGAACATTTCTGAGTTCGACAAATGCATATAGTCACATAACCACTACCATAATAAATATATAGACTATTTCCAAAAACCCTAAATTTTTTCCACATCACTTTGTAGTCATTCCCTACTCCAAGACTTTGGCAATCACTGATCTATTTTATTTCCCTATAGTTTTGGCTTTTCCAGATTTTCAGACAAATGGAATTAGAGAGTACATAAACGTTTTGAGTCTTGCTTCTTTCACCTAGCATAATACATTTATTTCATATATCAGTGGATCTCTTTCTTACTGAATAATATTTCATTGTGGGTATGTACCATAGTTTATTTTTCCTATAAGTAGATGAAGGCTTTTTGGTTAGCTCCAGTTTATAGCAATTGCAAAAAAAGCCTTTATAAACATTTAAGCACAGATTTTTGTGGGAATATATGATTTAATTCCTCTCGAGTAAATATCTAGGGGTGGAATTTCCAAGTTGTATGGCAAGCGTGTAAACATTTAACATTATGAGACTGACATACTTCTAATGATTAATTCGTCTGTCTGAACAGTGCAACTTTGTGTAACAAAATGAAGATTAACCCTGGAATTAAAGACCTTGCTTCAAGTCACACATTCAAAACTAACAACTTTCATGACTGTAGGTAAATTATTGCATCATTTTCCTGGACTCATTTCTTTGTCTATGGAATGTGGATTATCATAATTTACAGAGGCATTGCTATTGCAGCACAAACTGACTGGGAGGGCTTTATAAAATGTAAATTGTGTACTCTGGTTTCTCTTCAGATCATACAAATCTTTAGTCTTTTACTAAAATGTAAATTGTTATATTTTATTACAAATTATTATTATATTATTATATATTTTACTATAATATATTATAAATGAGTGGTCCTTTTCATGTTTGATGCATGCTACAAGTACAAAACTGTAATCATACATTTGTTTCCTTTTTAGAAAATAAAGTTTCAGAGTTGCGATGCTCAATAAGGTAGCCACTAGCCACATTGTGTATTTAAATTTAGATTAATTAAAATTAAACACAGTTAAAGATCTAGTGTTCTTAGTTGCACTAGCCACAAATCAAATGCTTGATAGCCACATATAGCTAGTGGCTACCTTATTGGACAATGCAGATGATAAAACATTTGTGTATAAATTGTAGATGGTGCTACTCTACAGAACAAATAGTATGCCTCTGGTCTTCTCAGTTAAAAAAATTTAAAAAATTCTAGAACCCATTTGCAACTCAATAATAATAATTTTGCTGTGATGACCATTATTTGCTTTGATCTTGAGACTTTTAATCAGCCCTCTATGCCCACACAGCCAGGCAACCAATGGCTTGTGAAGATGAGCCCCAGACACCTGCTTACAAGCGATGAAATTATCCTGCACGTTCCTGGTCTGCTCCCATTTAGACCCAACCTTGCCAGAGCCCTTACTCCCAACTGTCTCATTTATTATCTTGTTCTTGCTCCTTTGGGCTTGACATTGGCTTCTAAATTCTCTAGCTTGATTTGGGGTTTTCCCCCCTCTATTTTTCTAGAGTACCTACCTCTAACTGGTACAGCGAATAGTCAGTTCCCCCAAGACTAATCCAATTTATGGTGCTGACCGCCCTCCCCATGTTCACCTACCCAACCCCGCCTGGGATGGGAGAGATGGGTAATGATGCTCTGAGGGCGGCAGCGGCTGCTCAGGTCATGTCAAGGTGGTTGGCTATTGACAGGGGTCATGAATTCAAATGCTCTCAGGAGGCAGGCGAGCAATGGCGATGAATGAAGCAGGCTGGTGTCACAGTAGGCAGTGGAGAAGACTGAAACAGACCGGCAGATGGGCAGGCAGTGCCCCATCATGAGAAGCCAATCGAATAAAAATGCGTAACAGTCTATAGGCAACTGGAAGTACAGAAATGGAAAAGGAAGGGCTAACGCTATTGGTTTTTTTTTTTTGTAGATAATGACATAGTGTCTTGGGAAAACATGAGCGAATCAATGCTAAAACCAATAAAAATAATAAAGAATTCAGTCAGCTGGAAAGAAATAAAACTTGCCTACAAAAATTAATATGCTTCATATATACAAACAACAACCAACTAGAACATATAATGGAAAAGCACATTATTTACAATAGAAGAAAAAAGAAAAGAGAAAAGAAGAAATAAGCTGAACAAGTATCTGGAAAATCCAAATAAGGAAAGCTTTAAAACACTAAAAAAAAAAAAGACAAAATTAGATTGGAACATATGAAAAGACAACCTTGATCTCGAACAAACCTATTTAACTTCATTAACCTGACACGTGTCCCTCCCGCAATGTATAAAAGTAAGCAGATCTCAATAAAAGCAACAGTTTACTTTTTCTTGAGCTGAGTTTATTTTAAAGTTTACATGTATTTTTACCTTTTGAGAAAATCTTGTAAGACTCAGAAAGAAGAGCAATATGAGCAATCAAGTTTTGCCAGATTAAAACATAGTATGCAACTTGCATAATTAAAGCAGAGTGCTCCTGGGGTCCAATTAAGGGGACTAGAATGTTCAAAAATTGAAGGAAAAACATTGGTAATTCCAACTACAGAAATTTAACTTAAAACATTTTTAATGGAAGAATGCTGTCAGAAAAGTCAGAAGACAAATTACAAACAGGGAGAAAATGTTTGCCACATAGAAAAAAGGCAGACCTCCTTAATTTATAAATAACTCTTAAAATGAGAAAAACAGAACCACCAAAAACCTTACACAAAAATGGACGAAAAACATGAACATGTAGTTCAGAAAAAAGACAAATAAATTAACATGTGAGCAAGAAAGGATGCTCAGTTTTTACGTATAATAAAAATAAATGCACCTACAAAACTTAGATACCATGTCTTACCTCTGTTGGCAAAAATCAAAAGCTTGAGAAATAGGTTGTGAGGTGACACACACTATAGTCATACCTCGCTACTGGTTATACAAAATAATACAAACCTAAGCTGGGCAGTCGGCATTCTGTTACATAATTATATGCATTTCCCCTCTCAGCTAGCAATCCTAATTCTAGGAATCTACCTGAAGGCATACCTCCACAAAATGAAAAAATATAAACACAATTTTTTATTGAGGTATCATTTCTAGTTGCAAAAGACTGAAAACAACCCAAATATTTGACAACTGGGGAACTGTTGAATAAACTGTGGTATATCCACACAATGGAGTACTTTGCAGCTTTGGAAAAAAAAATAAGAGTTTTCTGGAGGGGTACAGAGTAGATTCCAATATATACTCTAACATTAAAAAGTCGAGATATAAAATATTGTATATGGCATAATACGCTAATTTTTGTGAACAACTTATTGGGGTTTACTTGATATGCTAAGAACTGCAAGTATTCAATGTGTACAATTTGAAGAGTATGGACATGTGCAAACACCCTTGATACCATGACCACAGTGAAGGTAATAGAGGTATCTAACACTTCCCAAAGTTTCCATGTGTCCATTGGTTTTTGTTTTGTTTTGGTAACAACACTTAACATGAGATCTACCCGTTTAACAAATTTTGAAATGCACGACACCATATTGTTAGCTATAGGCACTATGTCATGCAACAGATCTCTATAGAGTTTATTTATCTAGCATAACTGGAACGTACACCCATTGAATTACAACTCCCCATTTCCTCCACCCCCAGTTCCTGGCAACCTCTACTGCATTCTCCGTTCCTATGAGTTTGCAGCATTTGTCCTTTTGTGGCTGGCTTATTATACTCAGCATCACGTCCTCCAGGTTCACCCATCTTTGCCAATAGTAAGGTTACTATCTTTTTTAAGACTGAATAACAGTCCATCATATGGATACACCACAGTTTCTTCACCCATTCTCTGTTGATAGACACGTGGGTGGTTTCCATACTACATTTTTTAAAATTTTTTTATCATTCAAATACATTTGTCAGCATTTTCCCACCACCAGTTACATTTTTCTATCTTTTAAAAAAACAGATAAAACAAACGAAAATGGTTACCAAAGGGGGTGGAGGGAGTAGAATGGAAATAAGAATTTTATGGGTATACATCTTTTAAAAAAAAAGATTTCACTTATTTATTTTTAGAGAAGGGGAGGGAGAGAGAAAGGAAGAGAAACATCAATGTGTGGTTGCATGTCGCGCGCCCCCTGCTGCAGACCTAGCCTGCAACCCAGACATGTGCTCTGCACTAGAAATCCAACGGGCAACCCTTTGGTACACAGGCCAGCGCGCAGACCACTGAGCCACACCAGATGGGGCAATGGGTATGCATCTTAATGTACTTTTGAGTTACACAAGTGTTTCACAAATTCAAAAGTAAAATTAAGTCAAAAAGGATGAGACAATTCACAAGATGCCAGCAGGCTGAACTGATGTACCTATTGACCAGGGGGGACCTAGTCAATGACCTGCAGGCTCTAGGATATCATTGACTTTCTGAGGGGCATTTTGAAGCTGTGGATGAGAAACATGGGCTTGGGGAAGGAAAACTGACATTTAAAATTAGGTGAAACTGATTTCATTCACCTTCATAAAGGCTAATCGCCAGTTACATTATAATTAGCTGTTCAATTCTGTTACCTTCACAATGTGCAGAGATATTAGTCACAGGTTTTTCATTCTGACTTTTAATTTTTTTCCCCAAAGTGACTTTGATCACATACCATGTTCAAAAACTTATTATTCCGTTTCTAAGATTTCAGGAAACAAGGCCAAGCTTTCTCCTCATTTCCATCATCTGACTCACACACCATGCCCCTGAGGCAGCAACAGCAAACATACGGGTGTCAGCAATTACGGGCTGACTCATCAGGAAAACGTGGACAATTAACCTATTGAACATCTCTCCCGCAGGCATTTCAGCCTCAATAGGACCATCTGCACCGCGTGTGCCCAGTGTAGGAGCCCAGCCAACCTGCCCTGCGTTCTCACGCATTTCCGCTCTGATGCCAGCCCAGAAGAAATCCATAACCCCACAGTGCCGCTGCCTCAGCAACCAAGCAAAAATTCAAAACATTCCTTTTAAGCTGAACAGACTGTTTCTGGGTGACTCTGCTCCCCCCGTGCTAACCCTGAAAGCACCCCAAACCTTAAGGTAAGGATTCCCTACCATTGCAATCTTTCCCATAACAGTTTACAAAATACCATCAAGATTAAGAGTCTATTAATTTTTGTTTGAGTACAGGTTTAGCTCTTTGGCTTGCTGAGCGGCCATAGAAAAATCACATACTCTCTCTCCATTTCAATACCCTCATTTGTAAAACACCCAACTAACAGGCTTTTTGGTAAGAATTTAGTGAGAGACTCTATTTGTACCAGGGTTACAAATGAGTATACAGGCTCTGCTCTTGAATACACTGAGAAAAGGTAGCTCCTATTTCTATAACTGATTGAAATCCTGTTCCCTAGCAATCACCATCTTCCACCCACCATGAGAAGTGGGGAACAGAAACAACTATTGAACACACAAGAATAAAACAGTAAACTCTGCTACCTAAAATACCTCAATGCCTTCCAGTTTACTGTTCCCTTTTGGGTAACACAGCATATTTCATGAAAACATTGTCAAATCCTCCCACCCTGCTTCTTTTCTGCAAGATGGATTTCTAGGGAGACTTCTAGTTGAGGGGAACAAGGAGATGGGACTCTGAGCTCCGGTATTCACCGATCTCTTTCTACTGCAGAGGGGTTGGGCTGGTCTTACCTCCCCTTGAGCTCTGCAGAGGTACTGTGATAGGGCCCCTAGTTGGAGACCATCCTCCTATGCTTCTCAGATCTGCAGCAGATGTATTTGTGATCTATTTCTTTGACTCAGTCAAGACTTGCCTTGTTCATTGGGCCCTGCTTCATTGTGCAGGTTTGCTGTGACACTGGTTTTGACCCCCATTTTCCTCTGTCCCTGGCAGCTCCTCCCCTAGTGTAAGGGCTTGTAGGAATACCTGGGTCCCCTCCTGGAACTAAGTGCAGCTCAAGAATGATACATATGTTAAAATTTCTAAGAGATCAAGATCAGCCAACTCTAAAGATTTCATCTCTGATAAGGAGGAAAAAAGAGCTAGACCATTAGAGATCGAAGGAGGATTTGGGCAGAGTGGTTTTGAAAACTGTTGGTTTTGCTGAGTTCTGCCCCTCAGGAGGGCAGTAAGGAAGCCTGGGTCTCTGCCCTTCAGCCTGGGGAGTTTCAGAGGGATCCTCAGAGTATAGTTGGGTCGCGCAAGTTGCTACTGTACTGAGAGCTGGAAATACAGAGGTGAAGAAAGCATGTGAGACACCGCCACTGTACATATTCTGTCCTGTGAACGACTTTGTTCACCTACTCAGTTTTATGTATTGATCACTCACTCATAAGGCTGAATCTGGCGTGGCAGGGAGGGATTCCACGTGAACTGTGGGTACATTGACGCATATGAAGCATGTATCCACTTTCCCCACCCCAGAACAACCTGCTTCAAACATTCCTGTATAAAGAAAAGCTTCTAAGTGCCTGCTTTTGAGTTTTATTTTGCTGTTTCTGCAAGCGATACGCACTCAACTAAGTGTTTTGTTCATCTCAAGTCCTGTTTACCAGATTGCTTTCACCATGGAAAAAGACACCTCTTCATGGCCTTCTTAAAAGATCAAGATAGAACTCTCAGCAGAGCATCAGAGTTTAGTCTGGCTTCCAAGGATAATTTCTTTTCATAAAACTTTCTTTTGGAGCCTGATCACCTCTGAAAAACAGTATTCAGTCTCCTAAACAGAATTCAGCCGGTTCCCTGCCATCAGCAATGGGCATGGAATTCAACGGGGAAGCAGCGAGCCCAGAGCTGCGTGTGACTGCTTTCATGCGTCTCCAGCTCAGGTCTCTGCGTCCGGATGTGACAGAGAGAATGGAGGGCGAGGCTCCCTTCAAAGAGGACAGCATGCGGTTCATGCAGAAACTGGAGCTCTAGTCCGTTTATCCCCATTCCTGTTATTTCCATAGTCCATTTACTCCTCCTGCATGCTGGACCCCTAAGAAGGGCATGGCTGTGAGTGCCTCCCCTTTCCAGGGGCTTGATATGGGACAGCCACCCAAATAAAGCCCCCCAGCCTCCAGGGACTGCTCTCCCCTGTTTTCCTTCTACATGCATAAAGCCCTTTCATGAGACTTTTCACGTGTAAGCATCCCCGAGGCTCCGTGGTAGACACACACAGCACCTCTCAAGTGCCCTCCATCTTCTCGCTGATGCCGCAGAGAGTTAACAATCTGTCTATGGCAAGTCCTTTATCAGCACTTTCGTCTCTGAAGCAGCTGTTGCTGGAGGCAACGCTTCATTCAAAGCCATCGGCCCTGACTCTCAGCATCATGGCTTTCAAATAAGGAGACTAAGTGGGAAGAGTTGGGAATTTATACTGATGCCTAGGGATCTATGAAACACAAATTAACAATTTCAGGAAGAAAGGCTCCATTCTTGCATTTCAAATGATTCTCATGTTATCACAGAGCTTATCTTTCAAGAGAAGGAAAGATTTATGAGGTCAGACAAAGAGGAGAGTGTCAGAGTGCATTAACCTTCTTATCCCAAGAAGATTTTCTGTGTTTGCCTGATATCTGCCCAAGTGGTTATACCCAGCTCCCTCCACCTTTGAAGCCAGGGCCTACCCTCCGTTTTCATCACGTACCAGCTGATTATTGATGCCAGGAAGAGGAGTTGAGGGGGTGAGGAAGAACAGCTTTGCTAGGACAATCAATTCCCTCTGGTGATTCCTTATATGCAGTGCTTGGACAATTTTTGCTTGCTTTTTCTTAGGGAATTTTTATTATGACATAATGTCAAATGTACAGAAAAGTTGCAAGAATAGAATAAAGAATGCTTGTACACATTGTATCTAAATTCATTGACCATTTACGAGGCCTGTCCAGAAGGTATCCAGCCAGATAATATGAAAAATAGAGACATTTATATTGAAGAAGATACAAGATACAAGAAACATCGTACTCAGGACAATGGTGCCCGCGTCCCCTTCAAAGTAGGCACCTTGGGACCTCACACAATTCTCCCAATCGCTACCAGCTGCTCTGCTGTATTTTCCTGAATCTTGTCAATGGTCTGAGATCTCTTCCCTTTCAAAGGTAATTTTAGTTTCGGGAAAAGCCAGAAGTCTTAGGGCACCAAATCTGGGCTCAAGAAAGGCTGAGTCACCTGGGTGATTTGATGTTTTGCCAAAATATACTGCACAGGATGTGATGCATGAGCAGGCAGGTTGTTGTGATGAAGCTGCCAATCACCAGTTGCCCATAGCTGTGGCCTTCTGAAGCATCCAAATAGTTTCCATGGAAGAATATTGAAGCTTAACATAAAGTTTAATGCAGGTCCATTGCTCTATTCTCTCAGCCATTTTGAATGTGACAGCCACACAGTACATACTCATTCAAGGGCATCTACTGTGCCGCAGTGAAGCTGTCATTGTTCGCACATGCTCATTCCGGCCCACTCTCCTTGGCTGCCAGGTTACATCGATTTCACACAAACCATTCTCATTATGTTAAAAATGGCTGGAATTTTTCCAGACAGACTTCATATGTCACTATTTTTCTGTATTTGGTTTTGGTTTGTTTATTTGTATATCATTTAACATAGAAATTCCAATTCTATGTATCTAACCTACAAAATTGATCAAGGCATATGCATACAGATACTTGTATGAGGATGACCATATCATTTGCAATTTTAAAAAACTGGAAACACTCTAATTATACATAATAGTCTATTGGTTTTATAATATGTGATAAATCCATTCTATGGACTACTATGCAATCCTACAAAAGATGAGAAAGATGCATAGAGACTGGTTAATGCATCTCCAGTCATAATTATTATATAAGCTATCTTATACCCATTATATCCCCTTTCCTTACTGATTAAATTTTACTGAAAGTAGAAATATACCCAGCAAGGTAAAGGCTTTCCTGCAAAGAGGGGTAGTCAAAGCTTGATGGGCTTCCAGAAAAACTCACGAAAGGGAGCTGACCCAGCCCATTAGCTTGTTTTCACATTGTCCCCACCTCTTTCTTCCTTTTTCTTGTTTGGAATAGGGATGCGACATTGACTGCTCCCATGGCTACCTTGGGTTATGAGGTGATCTTGAGGATGAAAACCATGTTTAAAAAGGTGTAACAGAAAAAGCAGGGAGTAGGAGGGAGTATTTTTCAAAATAATATGTATAAAATAATCTGATTTGTGTTCTTAAAAACCATGTGTGCTTGTGTGTGTGTATGTGTATGTGGGGGGAAGGGACATAGTAAAAAAATTGACAAGCCCCAAACTGTTTTCCCGCAGTAGGAGGAACCCAACGTGATGTGCTATGGGAAATGCCCCCCCCCTCTCTTTCTCTCGCTCTCTGTTTTTACTATCAAATTGTTTCAATTTTTAAAAGCTCTTTATATTTCTTTGACATTTTAAAAATAACTAGAAATGTGTAGCCTGACATTTCAACTATAACTTTAGTTCTGAATATTCATTTCATTCCTTCAAGAACTGTAACCTTGATAAAGTGATATTAAAGCTGAAAGACATCTTATGGATGTTCTCATTCCATCTTACAAGTTTACAGATGAGAATCTGTTGGCTTTAAAAGATAAATAACACACCTCCAAGAAATGCAGCTACTTGGTGCAGTAGCCTGGAAGAAGAGTTAAATGAATTAAAATCTAATATGATCTAGATGTTTTCTTTTATATTTTATCATGTATTCTTTATTGCAACCCTACAAGAGACCCATGATATCTCTGTGTAACAGATGAGGAAAGGAAAGTTTGGACAGTTTATGTAATTAATTTCCCAGAGGCCCTACATCAGCTAAGGCAGGAGCCAGGATTCAGAATCTGATATATCAGCTCCAGCTTCTTTCCACTTCATTATGTTGCCTCTCACACAGGCCCTTGTGCAAAGCTTTTAAAGCACAGTGAATCCA